GGCTTTCCCTCACTAAAATTTTTTGGACAAAAGTTGTCTTAAAAGATTCTTATTTACTTTACATTTAGGTAGTTACCAAATAAAATAACTTAGTTTCGTTTCTTTAATTTTTGACATCATACTTTAATTACTCTTGATCACAAGAGTAATTAAGCAGTTTTTCCATTCTTAGGTTTAGTAATGGCTTTTAATTTGACTAACTGTTTTCTTAATTTCGAGAATTCTTATATTACACTGTTTAAATTTATGCAATGTAATTTGTTTAGGCTCACGTTGGATCATACTACATCTTGATGATTAACTAAAGTATTAAAATAAAAAATTAAGCTTAATTTTTATAGCTTTTTTATTAATACTTTAAACCTTTTTAATGGCTTTGCATTTCTATTTTAATTTTTATTGCACTAACTTTCGAATTATTTATTAACTTGCTTTTATAATCATCCAGATATAGTTCAGAAACGTGGCTCTGTTCAAATATTCTCCTTAAAAAATTAATGCTCCTTAAAAAGGATCAAAGTGCTTTCAAAGTTTTGTTACATTGGTTAGGTAAAAGTTTACAATTGGATGGCCCTTATTTTTTCGGTGATTTCTTTTTTGATGCCAAATCGGTGCCGAAGCACAATTTAAAGATACCGCTACAAAACCAAAATAAGAAGTCCAAGAATTGCACAACTCGTGTCCATGGCATCGATCTATTTTCACTTAAAAAATAAGGAACTAAAACAAAGTTAAAACTATCAGGTAACCAGAAATGGGGTTTCATCGCTAAAATGTAAGAAAATTGTTACTAATCAAAGGGGTACCCAATTCTACACTAGAGCGCATTGTTACATAATTATACTTTTATTTTATTGAATTGTGTAGCTTTTATTGTAATATTGATCTACGCTCTTTCTGTTAGCTAGATAAACATAATTTCTTATTTAATTATTATCTCTTAATTATATCTATTTAATTATTATCTCTCAATTATACAATTTACGAACGTAAAATATATTTTATTCACTTTTGCTTTTTTTCCTGTTAAACACAGAATTTTTCCTAGTAGAATTAAAAGTGAAATTAATTGTAAAATATTCTCTCCGCTAATAAATAATAATAAAATTCTTTGAAAAAACAGCAACAAAAAATAAATATCAATTTTTATTTACCCAGGAATTTTTTTGTTTAAAATAATTAACTGTCATCCTACTGTTCATAGACTTCATGAATTACAAAAACAATTATATCTCTTTCAATTGAATTTTCTAAAATAACGTAAATTCTTCTATTCTTAAAAGAATTTTAATATTTACGTGCTGTATTTAATACCTTGGATTGAATACATTTAATACTCTGTATTTTTAAAATCTTGTATAACATAATATTACAGAATCGACTCAGATTACATAAGTTGAGATAATACATAATCTAAGTATTAAGAGATTACTACGAGATGAGTACATAATGTGATGATGTATTATGAGTATATAATTTGATAATATATTATGAGTATATAATACAGATGAGTGCATAATCTGACTACAGAAGAATTTACAGGCTTTTTAAGTTTGAACGCAGAATTTTAAATTAATATAAAATATGCATTTTATAACTCTGTTTTGCCTAAAAACATTTCAGATTTTCCTAATTATATTTGCGACATATTTTCATACGCAAAGCTTAATTCAGTTTAAGTAGCATCAAAAACCTTGAAACGTAGTTATTACAGATTAGTGACAAAGAGTCTGATATAATTAATCGTTAAGACTTCGTTAATTTGTATCAAGTAAAAGAGATGTAGTTTATAGTTATAATATACAATTACTTGAAAATCTGTTCACAGATTTTTCATCTGTGGAAGAAATACGCTGCCTTTAAAACGTTACGTTCTGATTTCATCTTATATGACTGTGTTATGAAAATTTGTCAGCATTTCGTAAATTTTAGAACCTTTTAAAATAGTTGTAATTGATAGTATGAAGTATTTATTGTCAATAAAAAATTTTAAACTTCATTAAAATTATTGAAAAATTAATAGCAAAAATTTCTTACCTCTTTCGAACGTGAGGTTTTTCCATTGGGATACTCTGATACCATTGGAATCTTCAACCCAAATATCTCCTGTCTGTAAGAAATACCGTGAACACACTGTTTAAGACATTTTTCAAAAAAAGATCGAATTCATTTGTTTTGCAACTACTTAATTAGCTTTAATAAATGCAAAATCATTCCTAAATAATATTTTAGGAATTTCATCTTGTTTGATCCAGAGGAAAGGAATGTGGTAAGCTGTGTTACTAGATTCCAGAATTTTAATTTTATGTTGTACATACTTGTTTCGAAAAATATATTGTCCTATGTACTAAAGTAGTAAAAGTAATTGATGTAGACTATTCTCTAGATTTTATTAAATTATGTTAATGCTTTCTTAACCATTTGAGCTATTTCTTGACTCAAAAGTATTATAATGAGAGTTCTATTAATTTCTCCAGCATCAATAAATAAGATGACAGTATCATATCACTGTCTTCCAAATGGAAGGACAAACTAATTGTTAAACTGGAAAATTTATTGAGATTTTCTGCATAGACGTTTTTGTGTTTTTCTCCATGTGTAACGTGTATACGAGTCAGAAAGTCCGCCTCGAAGACATCCCTCCTCTTAGGCAGATAGCCCTCTGATTTGCCTTAATAAATAAACCAAAGCCTTCGAACGTTCATTGACAAATAAACAATACTTTTAGGGATGTGAATTATTTACTGGATTGTTTTTTAATTTTAGTGACATTGAACATATCATTTAGATGTGAAGCTTGATTATTAGCGATGAATTTAAATGCAGGGAAGAAAGTGCGTAAGCTCCAGAGAATTTAGAAACGGGACGAATTTGGATTTTGTTCGAATTCGAATCTTAAAAGATATCGAAATCTCCCGAGAATTCTAGATCCTGAACTTTTTGAATTGTTCATACAAGACTACTACACATAAGAAGAGAAAATAAATTTGATTTAATATTAAAATTTTTTAATTAAATAATTTGAAATATGTGTTTAATGATAAAAAATTAAGACTGCATTTGTTGAAAGTTCAATGAAATATTTATGAACTTTGTAATACATTAATTTCTAATGAACCTAATTTATTATCTTTTCCATGAAAGATACAAAGGAGCTTTAATAAATAAAGTCCTTATTTAAAACGCTTGAATCGTGGGATTATTTTGTCAGTAAAACTTGACAAAAATTACAAAATCCTCATTACAGAATCTTTCAAATTAAAGCTAGTGTACACTGGAGAAGATTATTTCAAGAAATAAGCCGATGAAACCCGAATGCTTAATTCTATGTAGAAACTTAAGAATGGAGCATTTAAAACAGTTATGAGCTGCCTTTGATGAATTTTTGAGACATTGAAATTTCAAACTTGGCGTTATTACTTTAATTAAGTTTTTTGTTGGACGACACTAAACGTAATCTTTCCAAAGATTTTAGTAAAACCATTTAATTGAATTTTAGGTTAGAATTAGAAAGCTTAGAACGATTAAAAATGAAATAAAAGAAGATTCAAATGTTCTAATTTTGAAATTTTAAGATACGCACGATTCAAGGACTGAAAAATTTCATTTCTAGGATAAATTATATTCTGATGTTTGCAATAAATTTGTTGCGAGTTTAGTTACATTGGCATTTTCGTGGTTTTCCCCATGTGTAATGTGGATACGAGCCAGTTTCCCTTAAAAAGACCTCGACGAGCATCCCTTCCTTTCCGCTTAGTACCTAAGGGAGGAGCACGTAATAAGTAAAAAATGAAGATGCAAATTATCTAACCAGAAGCATCCACTAACAAAAACAACGCATTTCCAACTGCAGCTTATGCTTGCTTATTTAGAGTGTACAACTCTTTCATCCCAGCATCGAGCTCTGTATTTTAGTCACATAGTTAATCCCATGTACGTGCGGTGACTAGTTAAGCAGACACGAACGCTGTTGAAGGTCATGTAACTTTGTGGTTGTTATTTACGCGATTTAAATCTTGTACATATGTAAACACTAGAATGGTAGTATCTTTTGGCAGGTTTTCTGAAATTAATGCTGCGAAGCCTAGTAACAAATTGTTTTCTAAGAAATATGTTCAAAGACTCGTACGTTAGTTTTCTGAATCAATAACTTTCTCTTTATTAATACCAAACATAATAGACTGATAATTAATTATTTTTATTTCTTGAAAATTATTGCTGTACAGTAACTAATATAATTAAGCTTGCGAATACAAATGCGCTTCTTGGAGAATCTTCTGATAAAGCCATGCTATCTCAACTGAGGCTAGGCTTTTATCTGTTTCATCCAATAATTTTTTGCTTAAAATATGCCAAAATATCACTTTGAAAATCATAGGATAGAAATTAGAACACTCTCCTTATGCATAGGATGAACAAAGGAATATTTTTTAACGTATATTATTCAATGTATATGGAATATGTAAACGAAAGCATTATGCTTGATAAATGATTTATGTATGCTTACAGCGTGTTAATAGTACGTCATTACCAAATCTTTATAAATATTAAAATCTTTCTCGATTGAGAGAAATTCTTTTATCTAAGAAATTAGAAATAAAGATACGATTTTAATTCTGCTTTAACGTTTTATTCAAACTGCCTCATATTTACTATTTGGAGTTTTAAAATGGATCATGTTAAATCGCTGCGCGAAACTGCTAATATAACTCATTCTCTTTCAGAACATTGAAGTGTTATTACTAGCAAAATCACATTACTTTTTCTTTTCAGAAATATTTCAACTTTTTGCAATTGTTGCATTACATTGATTTACTTGTTTTCTGACGCCATTAATAGGCTATAAGAGCTGGTCCTATATTATGGAAGTTAATATCAAGCTTCTTTGTAAGATAACAAAGGCGAAACAGTTTGTATGAAATAAGTATTGGAAATGACATAAAATTATTCATAGGGATTAAAAAATTTAAACATACCGCATCTTTACCCAGGGGCTTGAGTTCACTGTCCATAGGCAGAACACGAAATCTCACTAAAGCAAAAGCAAAGGGAAATTTCTCAAAAAAAAAAAAAGGAAGTTAAAATTGCATGGCATATAAAAAGTAAGTATAAGGAACAAAAATAATTAAATTATGTTATCATAATTAATGGAAAATGGTATTCACGACAGGCAGTTTTATGTACCTTTAAGATAATTTTAAGAGCTTATATTTGTTTATTAAAAATTGTATTACGCACTTAATCTGAATGGATTTAATAGTATTGAGCAATAAATGCTTGACTGAATTATTTCAAATTGCAGTTACAAAAGTAAAATCTACATCTGGGACGATTGTTTTACTGCTTTTAGATAAAGATTAATACAGAGTGCATATTGTATCTTTCTTAGACAAACACGCTAATACTCATTTCAGGTTTAGTCCTTTATTGACCAACAATGGAATTTTTAAATTATCTATCTCCATACGTATATAAATACATTTACTTAATATAAAATTAAACCATTTACATGAACTTTGAAATTACTGAACATGTATTGATAATACAACACTTATATACATAGATCTGTTTAATAATATATTGGTCCTGTCAAATGCTTGTAAGGAACACATAGAAATACAGATGAATCGGAAAATTGAGCTTTGCATGTAAATTCTTTCAACAATTTAATCTTAGAAAGCTCACAATGATCGCGAGCTATAAAGCTAGCAACAGTCTGACTATAATCTATTCTCACAGTAATGAAGCTCATGAAGTTTGGTAATTTACGATAACATAATCCATCGATTAAAAATGTCCCTCGAACTCGATACCATCGAAGTCGACTCAATACTCATTGAAGAACACACAGTGCTGATAACTCAGCACCCTATAATGCTAAATACTGAGAAATTATGATCCATATCCTCAGTTTTATTCTATTCTTAAACTAGTTTTTTAATCTCTTAAAACGAAGTGCATGTGGACTGTATACGCAAGCCAAGAGAGGGATTTGTAACCGATTTTTAAAAGGACTTGCTCTCGCTTTTACATTATATTTACAGAAAGTTACTAAAATACCTATAAAGAGGAAACATACTTGCACCCACCAATACCCGAATGGTTAGGACGCTGTATACTGCTAGTTCGACCTGGATGTGAACGCAGCGAAACGGGCTGGCTGCATGGTTTTTACCTCTAGTGGGATGAATATAGATAATTATATAGCTGATGAATATAGATAATTATATTATTTATTAGCTAGTTTTCTTTTAATGTCCTTCACGGAGGCATCCCTTCTCATAGGCAGGTGATCCTCGTGTATTCAAACAACCTATTTAGTCTAAAGGAAGCCCTTTATCTGGGAATCTTTTGGTGAGTTCCGTTTTTCGATATTCTTTGCAAGGATCAGGTAACTTCCCTTTTGTCATTTGTCTTGAATCCACTTGTCATTGTTCTCGTTATTTGTAAATTACGTGTTTATCGTCCTTTGTTGATAGCATATTTTTGTTTATCTTTGATCATAAAATGCATTTTCAACCTTTGATGATTTTATTCTGGTACATGCTGTATAAGCAAAAATTTATTAAATATTTGTTAAATTGTTACCAAATTATCGTCAGTTTTCGTGTATAAGGCGAAAACCTTCTGTTGGAAACTAGTGGGTGGTTAACATACTAGCTCCAAATAAATTACAAATATTTGAAATTAGATAAAAAAGCATTATTAGCGTAGATTTTGATTAAAACTTTATCGATAAAGTTTCGGGAATTTTTTTAATTTCTGAGTAGGAGATTCCGATGTCTGATTATTATTGAAAATCTTCAGAGTTTTATTAGACAGCTTCATTTTTTGCCTCTGAAGAAGATGAGCTATCTGATTGCCTTTGAAATCAATAAATTATTGTTAAAAATCTAGGCAAAGGAAAACCTATTTTTGGCTAATTTTAAATTTTACATTGGCATCTTTCTGTTCTACTTAAATCTAGAAATAATTCCATCATAAAAACTAAATATCTAAAAAGTACTACTAAATGAAATTTATTTAGGTTTTATTCAGCCCTAATATAGTTAAAGAAAATTTCTCAGTAACAGAATCTGATTAGGAATTTTCTGATAATTTTCGGAAATCTCTCCCTACTGCAATTAGATCCTTATGAGTGTCATCGTCCTCCATTTCCTATATTCAGATATGAAGACTCGAGAGGGTCAAACATTTATAACCCCTGACAGGAATTTTGAGAGAAATTACTTTTTACTTTGTGTAACTTCAATGATAAAGAAAATGCTAATATTAAAATCATACAAAAATTCGTAATGAACTTTCAGTGCTACTTTCATGAAATATGTATTACGTTATAAGCAATCTAATATATATACAAGCAAAGAGAAAAACGAATTTTCAATTCTTTTAGGGGACTAAATTTTTTTTCTCAGTTTCTTCTGTTAATCTTAAGAGCCCAAATCTTCTTTATTGTCATAATTGGCTCTTCCTCAACTGAAGCTCTTTTTCCATCATTTAGTCTTGCGGTTTTAAATATGTCTTGCCTTTTCTTGTCATTCAGCAAGCTTTTCAGATTTTTTGGAAAGAGTATCAATTCAATGTTTCTAATGTATCACAAAGACTATAAGAATTCTTTCTTGGGTAGCAAGAATCCGACATTTAATTTAAAAATATTCTTTTAAGCATTTATCATACGAGACTAACGAAGCTGCTCTTACATTTTTTAGACGATTTTGATTTACTATAAAAAATACGTCTGCTTAGAAATATGTTTTTTAACTGCAGCTATATTTTTGAAAGTATAATTTATCATTTTTTATTTGACAGTTTTGTTTACATGTTAAATGGCGGTTTTAAAGAAACAGTGGATGGAAGCTATGTCTGTGCTCTTTTCGAATAAAATTATTCGTATCCAGGTATTACAAAACACCGCGAAAGCCACGGGGTTTGGGTACCTAAAGCTACCATAGGTAATATTGTCAACAAGAAAGAAAAAAAAGTTAAAGTAAGGCTTCGAAAAAAAGAAATGTTTCGAATTCTGTAAAGGTAAGATCTTTAACGTTACACGAAATTCCGCCAATTCAAAGGACAATAGCAAAATCATTAAAATGTTCACTGTCAACTGTAAAAAAAGTAGTTAATACTGATTTGAATTTTAAAAAAGGCAAAAAACTATAATGTGCATTGTCTGTCTCTGCGATACATCGCCGAGCGCGGAAAGCGCTGTGGAATTTTTTATAAGAAACATTTATCTGGATAAAGACAGAAAAGTGTTGTCATAATAGATGAATATTGGATGTATTTAAATGTTTGCAATAAAAAGAGATCCATTATAGGGATTTATATTAATTTTAACTAGTAATTTAAAGTTTTATTTGAAACTTTCGTATAAGCCTTCTTTTTCTTTTCCCTAATTGTCAGTGTCAGAATAGTTAAATGCTCTAGCGCGCGTGAACGAATGCAAATTTTCTATTTTGAAGGAAGTAGTTAAAAGCCGAGTTTCGGTAGGAGGAAGACAGAGTTAGGCTCTAGCCGCCGTCTCTGCCGTAGGTACGTTTGCTTATTGCTGGTTAAAGTGGCTTAATTGCATTGCTGCCACTAGCTTAGAAGGAGGTTGAAGTTACGGGATCTCGCTGAGCCCTGTAGGCTAGTTTTATCACTTGTTAATAGTTAAACTTTTAGTTTCAATTATCTGACTTTCAGTTACCGCTCAAGTAGAGCCGAAGTTTGTTAGCGTCGACTCGACGCATTGTAAATTTTAAAGAGTTAATAAAGGGAACGTGAACCCTTCTCCTGCGTAGTTTCCTGCTATTCCAGTATACAGACAGAAGTTCATTCACTGGACTTAACAATTATCATCAAAGATGAGAAAAAATCTTAAAACACGGTTCAAAGATTTTCCTTAGAAGTGCAAATTAAAAATAAAGAGAATGGAGAAAAATGTTAAGATCAATTCCACATATTATCGGGAACATATTCTGATACCTAATTTTCAAATATGAAACCCCTTCTCTTTACACACAGTGCCATCAATAAGTAGAATTGCATCAAGCCAAGGCAAGAAGGCACACGTCAAAATCCACTATTAATTCCTGGAAAAAAATGGAACAAGAAATAGGCATCAGGCTCCTGCTCTTCACTCATATCTCTACTAAATATTTGATATATCATTCATGGATTTTTGCGCTTTTGGAAGCGGATTGTACAAACTTCGACTTACAAGCCCCCTTGGACTTTGCAAAGCTGTTAAAGATGAATGGGATAAAATACCTCTTCCGATATTACAAAAGGCTCTATTGTCTTTGAAATTATGATGTAGAAAGATAACGAAGAAAAAGGGTTATCAAACAGAACACTTAAAACACAAAACTTTAGGTAAAATATTTATAATAATATTTAAATAATATTTCTAAATAAAATATTTCTGTAAATATAACGAAAATCGCCTGAAAAATAGGCCAACAGGCTCTGTAGATTGTTCGATTGCTCGTTTTCTACAAGTCGTGCAATTTTGAAATGTTTAACTCTACTGACTTTAATACTCTATTTTTAAAGAGGTTTTTCGACGCTTTTCCGTGAACAACTAAAGCTTCCCTTATTTTTTTAATCCGATTTTTTCTAATGCCGTGGAATGAAGCAAAGGTATTTATACAAACTTGCACATCATTACATTGCCCTTTTTGGAAACAACATACTCGATAAGAGTTAGACGCATTGTCTGAAGATCCCTCATGAAGCGCTGTACGAGCCGGAAGATAATGAGTTTGGTATTGTAATCCTCAATTCATTAAAATGTTTAAAATTCTTGGTCCTCTAAAACCAAAATAAGCTTTTTTCTCCATTACTTATAGGGCGCTTATGCTAAGACAACGAAGATCAGACTTTCATATATTTAATTACATTTTGCTATGCGGTTATAGGACCACCTATTTTGTTATTGTACTCAGTTTCTAAAAGAGCTAACGATTCTTTAAAGGACACAAATGTTATATTATGTAGAAAATTAAATATATAGCAAAATTTTCAATATTTGTATATTTAGAATATTGGAACAACATCGTGGGATAATATTATCGTAAAATCTGTATGTTAAAAATTTACTTGGAAAATGATCTGAAATTGTTTCTTACCTGTCTGTCCAGGTTTGTACAGCGGTTTATCTGTCTGAATCAATGTTAGATCAGACCTGGAACGTATGCTCACTTCTTGTTTCTCATCTATTTTATAGGTGGAGGACAAACCACTAAACGTGCCAAAAATGTGTAATTTCGCACGCTTAACATCTTTTAACGGTGGTATAAACATCTCCACCCACATATTATGATCTGAAAAAAATTAAGGTTATTTCATTTTTTATTTCAGTACAATTATTCTTTTTTACTGTTTTACTCATTCCAAACTTTACTTAATCCTCAGAAATTAATTTCGAATTCAATTTAAAATATAAAATTCTCCCAGTTTAATTCCAAAACCGTTTTAAATACTTAAATAGCAAGATACGTTTAATAATTTAATATTTCTTTGCAGCATACTCAAAGAAAATCATTCAGAGAATCATCTAATATGTTTTTAAACTTCACTATAGCAAGCTTTCCTAATACTTCCTTATTAAACCAATTAATTTATTGATGTTTTAATAAAATATTTATAAGTAACAAATATTTACAAATCTCATTTAGAACACCAGCAGCAATGAAAAGTAATTCTTTGTAAAAATATGCTTTGTAATAAAATTTAGAAAATTTTGGCAGTCATATTAGTTAAAAAACTTATGATTTAAATCTCCCGTCCTCTTGAAACCTTATATATTGAGCTACTTCCTTTTTCGCAAAGTAGTGAGTGTATTATCATTTAAATAAATCGATTACATACGTTTGTGAGAATGCGTGTTTAAAATATAATTAAAACGTTGCATATTTTAAAAAAGAACAGACAGAAGTTCATTCACTGGACTCCACAATTATCATCTAAAGATGAGAAAAGAATGCCAAAGTAGAAATGTCAAAGAAGGCTGAAAAGATGTCACGTTCAGCTTGGAATTTCATATAATTATTATAAACCGTAGAAGTAATAGCTTTCTTTCAGTACAATGGAGTGCAGTTTATTTACAAATTTTCCATTGTTCAAAAGATCCAACAATTGAAATATCATACTCACCGACATAATAAAATTTGCATAGAGCGTCCGATCGATACATTTTTGAACGATATACTCTTATAGAATCTTATTCTATGCAATTTTAAGGCGAAAAGGTTTAGAGATTTGAGGATACGTGATCCAGAGTTTCCAAAATCTATGGAGATAGAGTTAGTTTGTTTCCCTTTTTGTCAATTCTCATTTTAAATACTATACTGACCGAAAGCAGTCTTTCCATGTTTATCAAATAAAACAAGAATGTGATGTAGAGTCTATTTTCAGATGAAAAAAAAAGCCTGTTTAATGAATTTAAAAAGATAGTGTCATTAAATATCCGAGCTGGATATATTTCAAAACCGAAACTACTAAATATGATTAATATGAATAATATGATAAATATGATTATTCTATGTAACAGTCAGTGTACTCTTATTTTCAGGTGAATAAAATTTCCCCTTCAGACAGCGCTTACATATACAAGATTTGATTGAAAATTTCTAAAACTGCTATATATCTCTTTCTCTATGTTAGACGTGACTATCCTGTGTTGGGGCTAATGAAGATTTGCATTTACATATGGGAGTCTACTGTTTGGAATCATGACCTTCAGTATTTGATCACAGCGTGCGGAGAAGCTTAACATATCTTGTCGTGGCAAGTCGGCTCTGTGAAGGTAAAATAAAGATGCGAATGAATTCATGTTAGTCTTAGGTAAAATGGCATAATAAAGCAATTAAAATACTAATGTAACCCTACGGAAGTAAATCATTTAGCCATATTTTGGTATTTCAGTGATAGACGCGCTTAAGAACGGTAACATATTAGAGATGGACGAAGGACGTTCTGAGAAGACCTCCAGTGTCAACATTCCCATGCCATGAACAGACAAGGAACGAAACGATCATTCAGACTTTCTAAAAATATGTTTGGGAGGAACTATGAGAAATAAATAAAAAAAAAAAAAATTCCAGAAACAATGTTCCCCTCCCCCAACCAAGGAAATGCTTGATCGCACGTTGCTGGGATATTACTTGGCATTTAAGACTGGGTTCGGTAGGATAGTATTAAAATACACTCTATATAAACCTGAATATTTTCAATAAGAGGTTCTGTTTAGGTGGAAAAGTGCTAAAATGCTGTAAATGTAGTGTTCGGAGGAGTGTCACAAAAGATTCAACTTCATGCTTTTTAAATTTTCCACAAAATGCTGTAAAAGTGTAATGCAGTTTGGAAAACTCTACTTTGAAACAGAAAAAACTCCCGCAGATTTGTAAGTGAAAATCTTTGTAAGAGGAATCAATTTCAAAATTTTTATGTCGGTCTAAGCAACATTTGAAATCTGTACGTAACATCTGCATCCAACTCATCTATTTATGTATCTATCATCTATCTCATCTATTTAATGCATATCTACCGTTCTACATCCATCATCTACACATGTGTTATGCAATCGAATTAATCATACATTATTATTTTATTTATAATCCATTTATTATTTTTTCTGTATGCATCAAAGCAAAATTTATTAAACAAAACAAAAATAATAGGTTGCTCTTTGTTCTCAAATTTTATCCCACAAGGAAAGTTTTCGTAATATGTTTCAATGAGTTATTTAGTGGTTACTTCAATATATTACAAGTATTTGAATTAATGTCAGTCTGAAAATTTTAATATATAGGTGTCAATGCACTTGAATTACAAAGTGCGACTAAAAATGTTTTTTTGCAGATATCAACCTTCAGATTTCACGCCGAAAATAGGCATAAATTCGAATATTTTGCTTGCTTCATTTTTTATATATATATAAGCTTTGACAAATATGTAGCGATTTTTCTTAATTTAGTTAATAAATATTTTGTTTTTAAAAAAAATGCACACACAAAATAGTATTTTTTAATTTTATTGCCGCACGTCAGCTACTTTCAGATTGTGAAATCGCGCATTTGGCCCGTGTGCAATCTGAGTTTGAGACTACTGCATTACATATTAAAAATATTTTTTATTATTTGGACTTAACTGTGTCAAACTGGGTTTTGGAGATCGCTATTGATTCAAATATTAATAGTAATAATAATAACACTAATTATAATGTACTTCTTATATTGATTGTTAAATTCACATCTGTATCTGTATCTATCTATCGATATACATGAAAAGCTGCAGCTCTTCATCAAGTAGCAGATCACAATTTCATTTGAAGAGCCACTTTTATAAATTTATCCCTTAAAAAATTTTTAAAATTGAGTAATATATTTTAGGGCAACAAACAATATATATTATAAAAGTAAGTGTACAATGTGCCACTAAAACTCAGAAAAGAGGAGTTATATGGTATGGTAGCCCTCTATGCCCCATTCATGAAGATGGTTCCCGTTTTTACCTGAAGGGCGTGCTTTTGAAGATATTAGGGCTCGAAATTTCACACTCTAGAAATTTCTAGAACAGTCCAGAACATTCGAGAGCATTCCATAACATTCCAGAATATCCTGGATCATTCTAGAATGTACGGGAATAGTCTGGAATGTTCAGGAACATCCCACATCATTGTGGAACATTACAGAACACTCTCGATTGTTGTGGGCCAGTGTACCATTCGAATCCTTTTTTGTATGGATGGGGCGTAGTTCCTAGTTCCGCTGATATACCGGAATTATCATGCGAACTTGCATGACGTGATCCGGCTCTCTGAAGTAGTGTTGTTCGACGCCTGGCTATAGCATTTTTTGACTGACTGCTGCCGTGGTTGAAGGAGCGCTGAGGGTGTGGTAAGGGGCGTGACCATTGTCACGTGGGTGTTGAAATTTTAAATCATTGGTACGGAAGAGTCTTGATTTGCTGTCCTGTGTTACGTGAGTTGATAACGTCTCGAATTGCGATGAGGATATTATACAGCATTTTTCACAGACAGTAATATAATATGAAAATTAAGACGGATAGGATAAATTATATATATTATTTATACTATATAGAAGTCCTGATAACATTTCAATATTCTTAAATTAGGCAGGCAAATTGTCAGGTATGTATCAGGCAGGCATGTATCAATCATATGATCTGCAAAATGTCGTAGTATTCAGTCTTCGTACAACAGTTCATAATGGAAGGCACCGAAATAGCTCAGAGTTTCGCACTCAATGGCTTTTGTGAAAAAACGTTCTCGCTTGAGATTACTTGTCTAGAAAGTCCAACTTGAGGTCTTTATGCAGCTGGTCGTTAAGCACGTAATAGTGCGCATTAGTCTTCAAACGAAGAAATTTAGATTGTACAATTTGTAGTTTACAGATGTAATTATCCGTAACCGCAGCCCAGGCAGGTGAGGCGTAAGTTAGGATGGGCCTGATTGTTGAAGTATAAATAAGTTTTTTCTTATTCAGGTCCAGTCTGGAATTTTTCCATGTGATTGGGAAGAGCATGTTAATAACACGTAATACCTTTTTTCGTACGTAGTTCACATGGTCAGTCCATGTCAGTTTGCCGTTTAAAACTACTCCTAATTTTCTTGCTTTACAAGCAGCACAGGCTCGTTGAAGAGTAGTTTTTCCGTGATTGGAGTAGCTCTTTTCTTTCGTCTGATTACCAGAATCTGGGATTTAGTGCATTGATTGCCACTTTCTATCGTCGGCACCAGTTGTCGATTTGAGGGATTTCAGCTTGGGGTTTACTGATATCGTGGTTAATGTTAGCCGATTTTATACCCAGGGCTGTATCGTCGGCAAAACATGCTAGCAACGATGATGAGCTGTGTGGTTCCGCAACATAGAATAGGTAGAGTATTGGTCCGACCGTACTTCCTTGTGGTCACCAGCATGTATGGGTGTTGCTTTGGAGATAGAATTTCTGATGGAGACTTGGAACGTTCGGATGGTCAGGAACGATTGCAGCAGTAGAATAAGTTCCCTACTGAAATTTAGATGAATTAGTTTGGATATGAGCCTCTCATGCCAGACGCGGTCAAATGCTTTTTACACATCTAACATAAGGAGTGCGGCTTGAAGTTTATAATGCAGAGTCGCCCCAGCAAATTCTGTTATCCTGATGAATTGTTTCACACTTGAGAGTTGTAGTCCGAATCCAAATTGCTCTGGACGAAATAGGTGAAAATAAGTCTTCATTCTTGCAAGGATGATTCGCTCAAATAATTTCCCGAAACCTGGTAGGGGACTAACAGGTCTATATCCCTCGGGTTTACAATGATCTTTTCCAGGCTTGGGAATCATGATGATTTTCGCTCTTTTCGAGGCAACCGGAAAGTATGAGTTGAACAAACAAGCGTTGAATATTGAGGAGAGTTTTATTATCATGTTTGTGCCAGGTTTCTCAGAGCAGTATTAGAAATTCCATCAATTCCTGGTGCTTTTCTTAATTTTAGTTTGTTGAGTAGATCTTTAATTTCAGAAGGCGTGGGGAGGGCAGAGATGTTTCGCGCGCTTGGTGCGTTCAGCCAATCACAGATTGATCGATTGACACGATGGTTAGCGTTGAAGAAAGTGTTAACTTACCTACCGAATTTTTAAACTCTTTGCAAGTACCAGGAGTGCCATTACACTGCCTTCGACTGAAAATTGGATCTCCGATGACACTACTCAGAAATCTCAACTCACCAAAACTATGTAATGGAACAAGGATGGTCGTCAAACAGCTATTGAATTTAAATTAAACTAAAAATTTAAATTTTTGTGTGGATTCACAAGCATTTTCATTCACAGCTCTTGCTTCTCTTTGAAAGGGTAAAAAGTGACGCTTTCAGTGGAAGGTTTTCATAACACTGAGGAAATGCAAGATTGAATTTCTGTGGTTAGCATCTACATATTACAATCAGTGGATTTCTGAAAGGCTATTTGAAATCCTGAACGTGAACATCCAAACCGAGTACTTGATTCATTGAAGCCGAAATTATGACTGGAAAGGACAAAGGACACACAGTATTTATCCCCAAAGTACCACTGATATTTACTGAACTGCCATTTTAATTTAAAAGACTGCAATTTTGAATCCAATTAGCCTATAGTTTTCCAATTAACAAAGCGCAAGTACAAACTTTAAAAAAATGCGGCATCAACCTCAAAGACTCCTGCTTTTCTCACGGTCAAATATATGTAGGAAGCTTGAGTAGGAAATTCGAAAAATTTGTAGATATATATACCCCGGATAACAAAGTGAAAAATGTTGTTGATAAACAAGTATTGTAGATGTTAGAATATGTTTTCAATAGAAAAAATTACTTCTTATATTTTAACGTTTATTCTATCAAGAATGAAAAAACAAAATGAATTTTGATGGCTAACAACTGAAAAAATACGGAAAAATAAAAACTATGCATTTATTTAAAATTTACTTGAAATCGATCAAGAAATTTTATTGTATGTTTTAACCGTTTTAGAGCAGACTTGCTTTCGAGAAAAAATTTAAATTTTAGTGTGGAATCATAAGCATTTTCATTCACAGCTCTTGCTTCTCTTTGAAAGAGGAAAAAGTGACGCTTTCAGTGAAAGGTTTTCATAACACTGAGGAAATGTAAGATTGAATTTCTGTGGTTAGCATCTACATACTACAATCAGTGGATTTCTGGGAGGCTATTTGAAATCCTGAACGTGAACATCCAATCCGAGTACTTGATTTGAAAAAGTCATTCAGAGCCAATTGTTCTTCGGTTCTGTAGACTGCAGTTACATACATTAGTGATGTCCACCAAGTCCCTCATGCAACATTTGATCACCTGTGACGGCGACCATGTAGAGCGTTCGTAATGCAGGTAAAAATCTTCACATTTCTGTAACTTTTTTCCCTGGTTTATCATTCCTTTTTTTACCAGAGCTCTTGCACCGACGATTTTGAACTCAGAAGCAAATTTCAATGCCATTTTTGGTTTTAAATTGTGTCTGATTAAACTATAATGCAGAAAAACTCATTTTCTAGATGAAGTTTCAAAATTTTATTCTAGGTTACTATTATCATGGTGGCTTGATTGTTGAGATTTTGCTTTACGTAACTGCATCGTTAGATACCTAGTGACCTTACATCCAGACATTCATTTAATTTATTGAACGAAAGAGGTACTTTTACATACATTGTTTTACATATGGTAATGTTTCAAGGAAATTTAGTCTTATTTTAAATGACATTTTCTAACACAGATAATTCAAAAATATAAAATTATATATTTCTGAACTTAATATTAATTTGAAGAATTTATTTGCCTGTAAATTCTCATAATTATTCTGTAAAGTTTCAAATTAACATTTTAAATATAAAAAACACAAACATTTTACTTCAGATCAAAGAATTTATAATTCAATTTTAAAAGTTATGAATTTATATAACTTTTCATCTTCAGTGTTCTTAGACATTTCAGGGAACTAATTAATGTTAATTTACTTATTGTATTTACAAAAGACTGCGTTAACAGTTATCTATGTACTTACTGGGTAGAACATTCACTTTGCTTTCAGCCAATACGCTGTTGTCATTAATTCGCAGCAAATGGATTGTGATTTCTTCACCAGGTGGTACATCGAATACCGAAAGCGTGAAGTATTCCGTGGTGCCAGCATCTAGTACCTTTGGAGATGTCAGAATGAAGCCCCTAGTAATATACAGTAGAAAAGTATCATTTTAATATTAACAAATTTATTAAATTATTTTTCATATTCTGATTTATTGATTTGCGTGCGAAGCAAGGCAGTAGAAAAATTGGATATAAGTATTATCAACGCGCTCAGTACATGAGGAGCCATAGCAATAAGAAGCTAAGGATCAAAGTTAAAATGTAATAAATGATTTTATTTTGAAGTTGGTTTTATAGGCAATTTCAGTCGATTCTGAAACTTGTGTCTAACCCCCTCGAAATCCATATGGATATTTTATAAGAATAATGTCAATTTGATGGTGATTTTGAGTAATTTTAGTTTAGTACAATAGTATTGACATAACACCAAACGTTTTTGAGTATGATGTTTCCAAGCTTTTACAAAAGCTTCCAAAATTCCAAGTTCTTATAAAAAATTGCTTCATAAATATAAATAATTTAAAAGATTTTTCGTAAGTTTTTTAAAAAATTTGTCAAGCAATAAAACAGCATAATATTAATATTAATAACTATCATTTCACGTGTTGAACTAAATGAAATATTCCTTGTCATTTACTTCGACATTGGGAATCTGTTCCTATCAGATTGTAGCTACACCTGAACTTTATTTGATTAAAAAAAGGCTAAAAAGCAAAACAGGTACCTGAGACGTGATATCACAATAAAATAAGCATGCTATTGATTGACTTTGAATAGATAGTGTTTCGGAATACTGGGTCCTTAAGCAACAATATCTGATCATCCCTCCATAGCAGTATATTGAAAGGAATGCCTTAATCCCGACAAATGTATACACATTGAAGGTGCATGTTGTGAAATAATTTTAAGAAATAACGCAATATAACGCGACAAAACAGGATGCATGAGCAATCAATTTTTTTAAAAAAATTATAACTATGAAAGTTTACATGAAATTTCATAATTTATAGTTTTTGAAGCAATTTATTAAATAAATTCATTTTTACAGTCAAAAACGAACATTACGTCACTGATAGGCTAACAGCTGGCAACACCATGAGGGGTCGAGTGATCGCTGAATACTGATACATCGTTACGGGGTCGAATCCAATTAAACTGCCTGACTGCATGGATTGGGTTTAGTGATTTTACTCATGTATAACGTGAATCCAAGCTAGTTTCTTTTGGAAAGTCCTCCACGAACGCATCCCATCCCTTAGGCAGATAGCTCTCGTGTGTGCCTTGCCATATTCAGATAATCGAATCGAGGGATGTTGATTAGGAACTGCAGTAGTAGTTAACCAGTTTAGTTAGTTGGTGAAAAACAAACCAACATTTTTAATGGTTAATGAGAAAAGTGTACCAGTAATTAAATAAATAATGTATAATGTGTATATACCTTGTTTGGATTCATCTATAAGAGCTCACTCATTTCCGCAAAAGCAGAATAAACTTGAGTGTTGATATCGGCCTGAAAGCTAGGAAAATCTAATGTAGGCATATATTTTTAGCTATTTTTCTTCCTCCTCTTTTGTAATTTAAATAATATGTTTCGCAGTTGTAACATCACTTCCCAGCAATAAACACTAAAACTTAACTTTGTTTTAAATAGAAGTAAACTTTGAGCAACTGGTTCACCAATTACCATGACGTAGAACCTACCGCAGTTTGTTACTGCAAAGAAACAGAATTTATGTAAAACCACCATCAACATATTGTCAAAGGAAATTTAGATATTGTTTCTGACTTTCAAGAAATCACTTCAAACGGGTTACCAGAATTAGGAAAAAGAATGCCTAAACAGTACAGAAAATATCCTCAATTAATCAGCTAAGAACTCAGTTTTCCAACTGCTATTTTCGAATGGAAAGTTGTAACTTCGAACAAAAACAAGCTTACACTCACAAAATTAAAACATTTTATAGAAACATCAGTTTAAATGCACTATGGTACATGACCGTAAACAGAAATTTACGATTACCAAAGTAGAAAAGGCAAGTAATAACTTCAATAGTATTTGAAAAACGTTATGGCCGACTAATCAACCGATTTAAATATTAATCAATCGATTACAAAAGACTACTAGTTATTAACTCTCTGTTGTTAACAAACATAAAGTCTTTTGTCACGAACTCAAAATATTTTTGTAGACTACAGCAAATTTGTTAACGTATTTGCCCAAATTTCACAAAACTCTATTGGAATTCAGATGTATAGTTATTGGTATAAAAATATAAAGGGTATAGATTAGATTTTTGCTATCAAACTTAATAAACTTTGTTTAGTTATTTTTACTTCAGCTAATAAAGATCAAAAATTAGTTTTATTTATTACTGCGCTTAAAAATCTCGAGGTTAAAGAAGTAAACTGCTAAAAATTTGGAAATCTGAGTAAAACTCTTCCTTTGAAAAATTTTTCAGTCTTTTACAACTACCACAACCTTTTCTTCATGCACTTACAGTTTCAAAAGAAGAGATTTTTTAAAGTGCGTCTATTTCATAATAGTACTCCATTTAATGACAGTATTTTTCCAAAAATAAATCAAATTCTCCATGAAGACAAATTTTACCGTCCATATTTATAATACTTACTTATTTTCTAAAGAGTTTCAGCTTCACCAATCACTTGGCGAGGCAAATTTGAAAAGTTTTGCAAATACCTTGAGGTAGATAGATGATATTATTTCAATTAATAATTTTGAGAACCTGAAAAAATTCAAAATTTGCCCTTCATGCTTAATTCTAAATAAGACCAATATAACTCAGAAAGAAATATGTTAGCTATATCTACAAATAATTCACTGCCACAAAGAAGAGATTTTAACTTCATTAAACTGATTAACTGACATACTAACATTTCCAAAAAAGTAATTAGTAATACGAATTTTCGTCATATAACTAATAAAAATATTTGTACAGAAATAGTTTATTGATAAGATGAAATTATTTTGCTTAGTAATAGTCTACTGGATAATAAAATTCTCTCTAAATTTATGAACGTTTTTCTTAAACAAGCTGGCTTTAACTATCATATTTAATCTCTAATCTAATAATGTAATGATTCCATTTCCTTAAACTGATGAGGAGGGTAACACAGGAAGTATTTATTAGTATTGGAGATTTGTATATATTGTAATTAATTTTTTAATTCATTCAACTTAATTACTTTAGAAATTTTCTGAATGATCTTTTACTAATTTAAACATTATATTTTTCAGAAAAAATTTTAGAAACAACCAGTATTGAGTGAAGATTTCATATTCTTCCAATTTTTGTTTTGTTTCCTTGACTTTTAGCCAGAAATAGTTGTTTTTAAAAAATAATTTGTAGAATTCCAATTATTTGTACAATTCTGAACTTCACTTCCTCGTGATTCTCAGAGAATATATTTCTCGCCAAATTCTACGCTCAGTTTAACATTGAACTATTCTTTATCCGCACACCAATAAACAATATTCTTTTTCAGAATTTTTTCGCCAAATTAGCCTCCACAAATAGAAAACTAGGAAATTGTGAGCCAAGTACTGTTTTTTTCCTAGCCATTAAATTTATGATCTTTAAAAGTTACTGCAACCTTACTTATCTAGGTATCATTTCCTAGGAATATAAGTGCAGACATCTTAAAATATGTATCTTGTTTCTCATATCATTTTACATTATACCAGTTTTACATAGGGTCATTTTGAATGAATAAATGTGGTAAATAAAAAATGAAATAAAATAAAATGTATGTGTATGTAAAATCTTTTGTTTGCGTTATTTGTTCTATAACATCCTCACACTTCGATAATTAATATTATGCATTAAACACCAGCTCATTAAACTATAATTTTTTTAATGTATCCTTTCAATCTTTTAGCAACACTAGATACTTACATCATTAGCCACATTATATTCGAATTAACATTTTAAAATATTATTGATAGATGTTATTAAGTTATAGCAGAAACAAGTGTGTAACTTTAATTCTGTACACCCATATATTCTTTTATCATCTACATTTATTCTTCCACGAATAAAAAAGGTTCCGTTTATTTTATAGCATTCAAGTTTACAGATACAGAGCTTATATGTTTTGGCTGATACAACGTCAGCGCTGCAATCGGTAAAACTTGCTGCTGAAATACTTCGTTATATAATTGCTGAAATACTTCGTTATATAATTGCTGAAATACTTCGTTATATAACTGCTGAAATACTTCGTTATATAACTGCTGAAATACTTCGTTATATAAGCATTAATTTTCAATTTGCAGATATTACAACAAAATCAACCCTCCGCAAAGCAGCAAATCTAATCTTGATTGAAAGTTAAGAATGCTGTTATACATCCAGAATAACAGACATTAAGTAAACAATAGCCATTTAATAAAATTAATAAAACTGTAACTAAAAAAATGTGGAAATAATTGAGCTCATGATTAAGAACAACAACTATCAGAACTAATATATGATATTGATTTTGAAAATGATACAAATCTTTGACATCAACTACAGCGTAGTGAAAACTAATAAACTGAAGTATCTTATTTTTTGTTAAAAAACTGAAAATAAAAATTTAATTAAAAAACTTCGTAAAAAAGAAGTAGAAAATTTCCAAAATGAAAAATTAGAAAAAAGTGCATTTATATAGCCTATTATTTGCTTATAACTACCAGACGGACTTGCAAGAGCATTTTTTCAGTGTCTGTCATAGTTTGTACAAAAGCTAGATAAGTAAAGAGACCAGAATTTGAAAAAATTATGCACTTTGCTTTTTTAATTTCATAAAAGATAAAATAAGTAAAACGTACTTAACAATGAAATAGATGATTTTTTTTAGTTCTTGTGGTAATGCCTTGTACATGTATATAATAATTAACACATCATAAATTTGATATGACGTTTGAATGCATTTTAGCACTTTGAAGCGCGTTTGAATAAAAAAAAATTAATGCTTACCATAGATCATTTTCAATTTTATATGCAGAATATATTTTATTTTCATGCATGTTTTGGAATGTGTGATAAATTTTGAAAAAGGATGTCTATTTTTTATAT